AATTATCGAAATTATCTATCACCACATCATACCTCTCAAAAGAACTTTCTTCTTCAGGCTGATTTGTGGATTTATCCTTGTCCCTTGGTCCCATTTGCCTTCCAAGTGGCCTTCGAATCGTGGAAGTGAGGGCTGAGAGGCAAGCAGGTTATCTGCCACGTCAAATGATCTTAGCAACACGATAAGTACGACTTTAAGTGCTAAGTAAATCTCTCTCAACTCATTTTTTGTGAGCCTTTTGTCTCGGCTAACCAACTAAGCTTATTTGCCATTCGATCAGTTGCACTACTAACTTTGTAGTAAGTAATATCCTCATTTTGCCGTAATCGGTACACTTTGGATGTTTGAGAAAATCAACTGCCACCAGAAGGAAAGAAGTACCGATTCACCCGAGCTACTATCGTCTCTATTCTCAGGGAAGAAGTACACCCGAAATTGAGCTTACTGATACAGCGGGTAACGTAGTCAATGAAGATGAAGACTAATCTTAACTTGGTAACCCAATTAGTTAGTTATAATGCTTTATGATACTTTCCATCAGGAGTGTCCTAGGTACAGCTCTAACAGGCAGAACTCGGGCCTATAGGGGTTTAACTTTCTTAGTTGCTATAGCAATTGTCAGTGGTCGAAAGTAATTGCTCCTGACCTTTGATGAGCTATAATTAATTCCCAGTGGAGTTGGAGGGTAGTTTTCCTGTCACAGAAATGCATTATTATCATATTGTGTCATCGAGTCTTTTTTAGCGTTCATGCCCGGCTCTCATGTCACTGTGACGCGAGAAGGGGTGACCGCAACTGGTTATGGAGGGTCGAAGGGTCAAAGTGCTTTCCCCGAATCTCCTACCCTCTCGTCTTGTAGCTCTACTCATGCTCTACTGTTCGGGCCCTTAGAGGACCGAGAAGCTGGAGACAACCACTAGCCTCGGTCACATTTACGAGATACGTTTTGCTGTGCAGCCCCTTTAGACTGGACTTAACCAGAACCGATGCACGAAAGCCACAATCTTTGCAGAGCAGTGGGAGACTCCCCTCACTGTCCAATCATAAGGCGACCACTATCCCAATGACCCGGTATTGTTTCTCTCTCTCTCTCTTCCAGTTCAACATTTGTGAAGAATTTAATGTGACTTTTATTTCTACTGAACAGACTTTACCAAAGGACGACAGAGAGTGCTGTTCTTAGTTTGCTATCATTTGGCTTTACGAGAACATTCAGATTGACGTCCTTCCTTGCGATATATTTTCACAGAAAAACTCAGTTAACGGGAGGTATTGGAACATTCGAATATCCTCTAAATAGAAATACCTGTGCGTGTGTGCATGTGTAGGCATAAGAGACTAAAGTGATATCCCCAGGTAATCAGAACGGAACAGAAACATTTTTGCTTAGGTCATCAAGGCTTAATGGTCCTTTAGATATGACCTCAAGAGAATCAT